TATATATAATTTTATTGTATGAAATATCATTCATACATCCTTCTTTCCTTTGTAAAATTACTTTTTAATATAATAGAAATAATAATAGTAATGTGAAAACATAAAAAATATTAAAGGAATAATTTTCGCATTGTTTATTTTAGAAAAGAATGATTGGAAAAATGTAAAAAAAATTGCTCATACATAATTATGCATAATTTTATATATAATTATACATAAATAATTCTTTTTACATTTCTTCACACTTGATTTTTTCTAAAACAAATAGTGCAAAAACTTTTTAATTATTTTTATGTTTTATTTTAATGTTTTCATATTATTATTTCGATTACACTAAAAAGTAATTTTACAAAAGAAAGAAGGATGAAGTGTGAACATGTATAGACATATTTCATATATAATTATACATGTTTATGGATATTTATGTGTATTTATGTATGTTTATACATATTTATACATATTCACGCATGAAAAATTTTTTACCGGGTGTTTTATCGCAACGAATTTGTTATATGAAAATTGACATGAACGTGCAAGACTGCGTGCATCATAGATGCGTAAGATATTGATGTGGTAGTATGTAAAGACATGTCGATGTGCTAAAACAGCGACCTTCATCGAAATTCGAGCTTCGCTTTAGGATTCCCTTAAAGCATATTTGAAGCATTAAAAACATATTTAAGAAGAAATAGATTATGTTTTATTCTTAAAAAAAAAAACATTAGTCTTTACCAACTCTGATTTAAATAAGTCTTCTAATTCGAGTTTTTGCCTGCGAAATCGAATATCAGGTCGCGCGTGACGTGAGCTTGAATAATATTCATATGTAAATTTTCAAATAAATTTTTCAAGCACCAAAATCCGCTTCGACCAAGTATAAGATTCTTTCTCTTATTTGTATTTTTTACCATCTATCGGTCTATTTCCCTCTCATTATTGTTTACAAAAAAGTAAGGACGGGATTATAATGATTATAAAGATAAAATTTAAAAAAAGAAAAGAATTTATATGAGCCTTCTAATTCAAATTTAAATGAGTTTGAATGAGTTTTGTTTGCAAAATCGAATGTCATTTCGACGCGTGACGTGAGCGTGACACGGAATAAATAATAACGTAAACGCTGGCAAAGAGTTTATCCCCCTTTCCAGGACGGGCTTTAAAAGGGAAGCTCGCAGCGTAAATCCGGCGACTGAATTCACCGTTGTATCGAAAAATCCGATATGACATCCGATCCGCGCCGTCGACAAATCGTCTCCGCGCCCACTGCCGTCCGCGCGACTGTCGCGACGAAAAGAAAGTAATCGATACACAAGGGAAGAGACAGCGATGGTTTGATATTCGATAGAATAACGCCGGCTGTTGTAATGTCCCGGCCGGAAAATCTGGGCCAATCCGCGCAGATCCGGAAAGCTTTTAGTTTATTAAACGCTTTATTTATAACGCGACTGTCCGCGCGAGAAAAGTGCCTCTCTTTAACGGTCACATCTCGTTCCCTTATGCGCTCTTTTCGGGATCGATTGATAACATTAATTTTCCGCTTGGAAATCGTTATTGCTGCCATGATTAACCATCGCACCACACCGACCGGCTATACGCAATCACGAGGCGGATTACAGGGAAAATCCGCGCGCGCATGTTAATGGTAGCCCAGATGATTCGGCTTAAGCGGCGCTAAATTATTAACTTAATACGCAGCACCGTCAGTTCTACGGTCCTTTGTCCTCTTGCAAATTTATAGGCGGATTATCCGAGGGAAATTTTAGAAATATCTCCCGCTGAGCGCGTCTGCATCAACGAGGAACAGCGATTACATTACGTAATATCGGTCGTTTTCCTTTAAAGTGAATTTTAAAGCTAACCTTTCTTTCCGTCGTAGCCGTCATACTAAACTGTGACATCAGAAGCGAGAAAAAGAGAAGTCATGCGAATTTTTCTTCTTCCTCCCTTCCTCTTTTTTTTTATTTTGTTGAAATAAATTAGCTTCCTGCTGATCGCGCTCGACCTGTATTTTATCGACAAAATATGCGTCCTCTTTTTTATTGTTCTGCATTAGAGTTTTTTTATTGCCCCGCGCGCACAATTCAATCTGCTTTAGTTCTACACTGGGAGAAAAATGTTTGATATTTGTGACTATAACTGCATGGTAAAATAATTATTAAAAGCTGCATGTTCATAATTATTGTTACAATATATTTTAATAATTATTATATTTATAATTATACAAAGAAAAATAATTTGTTGGCAGAAATGATTATAAGTTAAGAAATGATTATAGTTAAATTATAATGATTAATTGCATTTTTTTCTCTCAGTGTATTCCTTCCAGTAATAATACTTTGAATTTATTGGTTCAGGACAAAAGTTTTGGCTTGAATCCAAAAAAGTTTATATGTAAACTTAGAAACGCAATATTTCAATCAGATTAGTAATTATATTATTCGATAGAGCGAAGTTTCGGCTTTAAGAATCTGTTCTTTTATATTTGTTACACGATTATTTTTAACGAAATTATGAACGATCAGAGTCAAAAATGTTCTTTTTATTTAATCTGCGATAACTCCGTAACAAAAAATTCTAGGAACTTTTAAAACGATTTTATAGGGAAAACTTTAAGCTTTAACTTTAGAAAGTTGAAAATTTTCGCAAGTTCTTTTCGGGTACGTGACAGGCTCGCAAAATGAGAAAGAAATTTACTATTTTGTCCAGCTCGCAGTTTTTTATATGTAAAAATTATCAAATTCATAAAAACTCAGAGAGAAACATAGTGACCTTTCGAAAGTAGAGATTTGAAGCTTTAAAACTTTTTTAAATTTAAATTTTGTTTAGTTTTAACGAAGTTGCAGTTGCTTGAATTTTGAATAATAAATCGGACCGGAACTTTTGCTACTACTGATCCGATATAACAGAGTTAATAATTTAACAGGAAAAAAAAAACAATTTTGCTGAAATATCAGTTACATACAGATCTGAAAAAAATTTTGTTGGATCAAAATATTATGCAGGATTTTTAAACGTAATGAGCAATGCTGCAGAAATCTTGACATTCTAGCGACCAACTTGAACGTCCTATATAATTATTTTAAACCAACAAAATTATCTATATCTAACGATAAACTTTTAGATGCTTCAGCAAAACCATTTTTTCTTGACAATTAACGAAACCATTGAAATCCCAAAAGAATTAAAAATTCTTCTAGCATTTCGACGATTTCGTTAAAAAATTAACGACTTCGTCGGTAGAAATAAAGTCGTAAAAGCGGAGTTTTCGTTTGATCGATTTGACGATCAGAATTCGCTTATCGTATACGAACGGAAAAGCTTTGAGTTTTCTCGGCAATGACATGCGAGAAAAAACCCAAGGAACATACCAATTCAAGAGAATGTCAAAATGATTTATTTATTATAAAAGTCATGATGATTTTTTGGTTATAAAATTGGACTATTCATTGACGTGAAGAATAAAAATAAGCCCTGGTGAAAATTTTTCTCAGAATTTTGCATGTAATTTTTCAAAATTTCTATATAATTTTTCAGAATTTCTATATAATTTTATAACTTTCTCACATTTTTTGTACAAATTGAAACATTTCTCAGAAAATCTTTCTCAGAATTTTTCATATATTATACTAATTATAAAATATCGTAAGATTTCTAAGATTTTTTGTAAATATAATTTCTGATGAAATGTGTTGTATAAAATCTAAAATATTTTTTAAAAATTATGGGATGAAAAATTTCAGAATATTTTAGAATTCACTTGTACAAAAAAATTCTGAGAAAAAATGTAAACTTTCCGAATATTTCTAAAAAAATGTTCCAATTCGTATAAATTCGTATAAATGAGAACAATTTTCACCAGGGAGGTCATTTTGATTTTTGTTGACTTTTGTGTGTTCTTAAGAAAAAGTCTCGATGATTCTTTCGATGACTGAGTGCAAGAAAAAGATTCACCTAATTTCTCGCTTCTGACGTCATAATTCGATACGGCTGTGGCGTGGTAACGAACGCCTCCCCCTCCCCCTCTTCTCCCCGGGGCTTCTCTTCGGACGGGAAAAGATCGGTCTATTACTTCAAAATCATTTTATTCGTAATAAAATTTTTGTTGCCAGCAGCGGAACGTCGATACGCCAACGCGACGAAGAAATTCAATTATTTTATCGCGACGGCACGTGTTGACACTTGAACGGGGGTGGAAGAATCTCTTCGCCTCCTGAGGGATGAGCGGGCGCGACAATGCATTCCGGACATTCTTAGCCAGACGTTCGCTTTCTGTTTTTCCACCCTTACCCCCGATCGAATGACTGATGGAACTTGTGATTTTATAGATACGGGCTGTGAATCGGCGAGTGAGAACGTGCCGTTGCAGGGTGCCTTGACCTCAGCGGTGCGGACGTCCGTAGGAGTCACCGAGATCTCACTAACGTCCAGCACCACCAGCAAGACCAATAACGAGCAAGTGGCGCAATTGTAGACTACTTTGGACTACTTTCATCGTGGCTATGTGAGACGCAGAGAAACGCACACAGTGACATCGTTGGATGTGCGCGTCTGGAATTAGCAAATTGCTAACATTGATATTCCCACAGATTTCTGTATATTAGACCGCTGGTGAATTCATGGTAAAATGTGAAGCTGGTAGCAACATTTACTGTGGGATGTAATATGTGCAGTGTACAGTAAAAGTGTGTATAATTTAATTTAAATTATTCTAAGTAAATTAATAAAGGATAACGTTATTTATTTTAAACAAAAATATTGAACAATGCCTTTAATGTTGAAATTTTACTTCTTACACTGAGAGAACAATTTTTGGTATTTATTATACATTATCATAATTATGATTATTACTGATATACTAATAATTACTATATGTATATTTCTATCAGCAAATATACATATATCTATAATCGAAAATGACTATATAATAAATGATTATTATTATCACAAAAATGATTATAATTTATAGTAATTGAAACCATTTTTATAGTAATAATTATAATATTTATAGTCGTTTTCATTGTCAAATATGTATATTTATTCATAGAACTATACACTAGAAAAATGTTTTGTATTGCATAATCAGAAAGATATAAATCAGATACTTATAGTTAAATTTATCAAACATTCTAATCGCGAGAGAGCAAATATATACTGTGTGATCCACCAATTCTAGTCAAGCACCTCATGACTTGTATCATTTCGATTAAGAGCGTTCTCAAGCAGAATAACGAGTCATTATGATATCAAAATAATATCAAAATGATCGTTACGATTATAAAATGATCGTTAAAAGTCACTTTTCGATCATTTCCGATTTATTTTAATGTCATTTTGATGTTATCGTGACTTGTTATTCTACTTGAGTTAAAATTGATCTCGAGAGAGATAACTAAAACATTTTTCTCAATGTAGTTATTATTCCTAACATTATAATAGTAATAATCACAATTGCAGTAATTACAATCACAAAAACTTTTCTCTCATCAGTAAATAATGTTTACCCACACTAAATATGATGCATGGCTTCATTATAAAAACTGCTATTGGCAGTTTAGAATAATATACAGAAGTCTGTGGATATTTCTCGATTTAATTCTAATTAATCTGTTATTGATAATCGAACTGAAATTCGAGGGTCTATATCTGCGAGGACGTTGAGCATCTCGCGACGTCGTTATCATTCGTAACATCTTTATCGTTAATAAAAAGAAAAAAGAGACAGAAGAGATGCAGAAATCGGCCGTTATCATGTTCGCTGTTGTCGTTATTGTTACTGTTGTCCTTGTGCATAAATTATATATACATATATACACACAAACACATACACACTCACACATATACGCATAAAAAAGATACATATACGTGCATTTATCGAACAAGTATATACCGTGTGACCCACCAATTCTAGTCGAGCACCTCGTGACTTGTATCATTTCGATTAGGAGCGTTCCCAAACAGAATAACGAGTCATTATGATATCAAAATGATGTTAAAATGACTATAAAATGATTAAAAGTCATTTTTCGATCATTTCCAATTTATTTTAATGTCATTTTGATGTTGTCGTGACTTGTCGTTCTACTTGAGTTAAAGTTGATCTCGCGTCAACTTCATCCGTTCGTTTAACTCCTAACTTTATTTATTATCGGACGTTTAACAAACGAGCAGTCCCTTTTCCTTCAATCCTTCTGAGAGCGCCTTCCGACGAAGTAATCGTACGCAATGGACAATAAATAAATGTACTTAAAGCGAGCACAATTAACTTACTCTGGAATATCGAGAATATTAATCGGGAATACATTATTTTCAACTCGACTGTTCTCAACCTTCTCTTTGGCCTCCCAACCTCCCCCCCCTTTTTCTTACATATTTTGAAGCGATTCGATTTACAAAAACTGATCGAGTGTTTCGAAAATCGCGCGAAGATTACTTCGAATGTTCATCTCATTTTTGGAAATATATTACTTGTATCTTTCCTCGATACTAATTAAAGAAAAATTCGTTTTATATACATGTAATCATTCTCTTTTCTCCCTTTTTCCTATTACATCGGATTTCCTATTTCACATAAGATTTTTGAAACGTTTGATCAATTTTGTGAATAATCGAAGAAGAATGTTACTATTGTATCGGCGATTAAATTGCCCGACTTTCGCGGCCGTCGAAGTCAAAACGATATTTAAAAAAGAAGAGAGAGAAAGAAATACTAATATCTTTTCTATTGTAACGAGCGCGGCGAGAGAAAAGAGAGAATAGATCGGATCTGGAATAAAACATTATTGAATGGCGTGTCGGAGAATGTGTGATTCATTTTCCCGTTATCCATCTTCCCTGAAAATCGATATAAATTCGGCGAGTTCAATTTCCTCCGGACTCTTGGAAGAAAAGTAAACGCCGCTGCCCTACATTGTCTTTCCTAAGAAATTAGATATAACGATCGGTAATCGGCAGACATAAGGGCAAAACTTCGATGCCAATGATGATTTTTATAAAATTTCAAGATGATGAAATTTTATGATGAAACATATAACAGTTACTGTTACTTCAAAATAACGGTTATTTAAACAATTATCGGTTACGTAAACGATTATGTTTTATAATATCGTACATATCCTAATCAATAGTCACATATTTTTTGGATTATTTCTCATTATTTAAGTCATTTAAGGAATCTATTTTGAAATATTTCATTATTTAAAATATTTGTGCAAATAAATTTATGCACAAATGATCGATGTCAATATAATTATTAATTAATAGCGCAAATTTTTGTATGGTCATATATATCAATTTAAAAATATTAATATGATTGAAAAATAAAATATAATAATTAAAAGGAAAAAGAGAAAAAAATCATTTTTAAAATTTTTATTTATTTATTTAAAATTAAGAATTTGAAAATAATCGTTTAAGTCTGATAACGTTACTAAAGTTATTTCTCAATAACAGTTACTCAGTAACAGATAATAAAATAACGCCCATCACTATTTCAAAGTATTTATTAACATCATTATTATTAAATTATTAATTTAATTTGCGATTATTATTCATATTGATATAGCTAAAGAAGGACCTTCTTAAGGAGTCTTAAACGACAAAATATTATACATTCACGAATTGTGCTTAATGAGTATTCACAAGATTTATTCACAATTATATTAATTTTGGAAAAAAGGAAAGAATTAAAGTTGAAAGTTTATAGAACGATTTTCTGAAAATCCAAAACGGCTAGTGTTATAAATTTAAATTTTTTCAGTTCGAAGAATTAGTTCACAATTTAAAAAAAAAAAGTAAATTAGTAAATTAAATATGTGTAATTTTGTAATTTACCTGCTAGTAATTAATTAAAAAATAACAATCTAAAAATTAAAAATAAAATAAAATAAATCCAATAATCCACTTGACTACTTGAAATACAATAGATATAGTGAGAAATGATAATAGAATCGATATCGATTCGGGTAGTTAAGTGATGTGGATTATTGGATTTATTTTATTTTTTAGATTGTTATTTTTTAATTAATGGACGTTATTTCGATTCGACGTTGAAATCATCAGATTGACGTCGATTTTATTGTCATTTCTCACTGGAAGTAAACTTTAAAATTATTATTAAGATCGTTTCGAAGATGCGAATAAGCATCAAGAATTTGTTAAATTGCTAGTCAATTTAACTCGTAATATTACTGTGATATTACGGTAGTTTAGTAGAGTTAGCGTTTAAAAATCGAAAAATCATTTCGGCGTTTTTAGGGATTACATACATATATACATTCACATAAAAATCATACAAGAATTAAGATCCAGTTAGCTCGTTTAAGGCTTTGATTTCTACAGTTTGTGTTATCACATATATAATATATTATATTGTAAATTTTAAGCTTCAACAAACTGATCAATCATAGTCAAATTTGAGAAGAATACTCGACTGAGTGAATGAGTGAGTTAATTTCTTATGACTTAAGGTTTATTATTTTTATTGTATTTCGAAACTAATGAGTTTTTTTTTTTTCAATAAACGACGCATGATGGTAACAAGTTAATTTTTAAAAATGACTCTTTTCCCAACTTAACTTTTAGGTATCATTACTGTCATAAAAATTGCAATGTTATTATTAAATTAGCATAAAATATCGTTACAAAAAATAACGATAAAAGTAACAGCGTTACTTTCTATTTCTATTAAATTATGTATTAATTTTTTAATTGTATATCAATTTTTAATTGTAATTTGTAGCACTTTCTAAATCAATTCTTCAAAACGACATTCGTTCATGATCGCGCGTAAACTTTTTGAATGTCAATCATACGTTATATTTTGTCAACTCGGAACAACTTATGTTCCGCTTCGCTTCACTCATAAATATGAACAAACACGCTCCTTCGACCTCACTCGTGACGTGAGTCATGATAACGACTGTCCACCATTCGACAACACGAGTATTTCCGAACTTTCGCGATCTGAATTGTATTCCAGAATTCTCTACATTATTGCTTTATATTTCTTCTCGATCGGACGGATCAGCTGATGGCTTTTTCTCTTTCCTGGCGATTGGTGAGAGTCGTGCGATTGGTAGGTATTAAAAATATCATAAAATTACAAAAGTGTGACAGTTCCTATGATAAAATTCTTCTTTGTTAATAGAGATTGCTTCCGTATTAAATATATAGCTGATTTTCAGTCTCTCGACCCAAGAAACATACCTTAAGGCGAAAGGAAGTCAAAAGGATTTTATTTTGTTACGCATCTTAAAAGTCAAAATGACAACTTTTGGTTACCAAATTTTTACTGTTTATTGACATTAAGAATCAAGATGAAGTTATTTTGATTTCTTGTTAATTTCTATGTGTTCCTTGGGATGTCGCTCCATTATATTATTAAAACGCGCCACGTGCCGATCGTTGTTATCAACAGACCGCACGCCGGATTGAACTTTGACTTGCTGCAAGTGGTCACGTTTTGAAAGTGACGTTTGCATGATGTCATGAGAATAAAAAATAAAAATCTCTCTTATTAATACAAATTCTCTATTAACAGTAGCATTACGTCATTATAATTTCTCGCTAATACAAACGTAAAAGTGCAATTATTTGACTAATTAATGCCCGATAAGTATAAGTGTTTATAATTGAGCTATAAATAATTGTATTTATTCAAATTTTTCACGTTATGTTTGTATGTTCCTTCAAAGCTGTGGGTATTCAAAAATATTTATTCACAAAAATTATTAGGATTGTTTTATGAATACTCGAAATGTAAATTAAAAAAGAAAGCACCAATAAGCAATTTTAACTATAACCAACTTTTTGATGATTCTAAATGATTAAATAATAATATATTGTTAAATTTTCTCTCTGTAAAATCTGTACTCTTTAGTTGGATCGGCAAAAAAATATAATTATGATAATGAATGGTTCTATTACACGTACATATTATTCTTATTCTTACGCGAATGTCGTTTTCTCGAACATAATGTTAATTGGAAAATTGGATCCAACAAAAACACATAAATAACTTTATGTAATTAAAAAAAAGAACTTATAAAGTCTGAATATTATTCCTCTACTGATTTCACTATTTTTACAAAATAGTCCGTTATTTTATGCTGACAAGGTAAAGATAGATAATGCAGAATGCGAGTGAATGCAAAATCAAAAGTAGGTATTCACAATTATGTTCACAAAAATACTCATTCATCTCAAACGAAAAGTATTTATTCGTTTCTCGATAAATATAAAAAAAAAATGTATTTATATTCATATTCATATTATTTATATTATTCATTTATTTGAATTTTGAGCATATTTGTCGGACATTAAATACATTAAATAATTATTATGTAGGTGCATTGCATTATTTATACTGTTGAGTGGGAAATTATAACCACAATAATCCATTAATAATTTATTAATTGCAATTATTAAATTATTAGTTAACTCGTGCTGCTATAAAATCATAAGCAAAATGATCCGAAATGATTATGTAACTCACGAACAAAATTAATTTATGTGATTAATTTTCATTAAATTTGGAACATTATAATATGAATTATTTGAGGTTATAGTGAGATTCGTTTTGCTAGCAAAATAGAAAAATTTTGCCGAGTAAATTTGTTCACAGAAACACTACGTTGACTTGTTAAAACAAACAGTTCGTTTATTTAATAAAACAAACAGTGTATCCATAGCAAATGTATTTTACTGATACAATAAAATCGCGTCGCTGATAAAACGGTCGGTATAAAAATAAACAATATTGGAGACTAGAAAATGAAGAAATGGAAGTTTTGTTATATTGTAATGGAATAATTTGCAATACTAACGAAGCTATTTCAGCAAATAAAATCAGTTTTCTCAACAAATATTTTTATCATCTATATAATAACTAAAAATTGCCAACGAGAAATTTATTACATATTTAATTCATATAAACATCTAAATTTGCTACATATTTAATTTATATAAACATTTAAGTGTTTGCTGTATCAATAAATTTTTTTTCACATGGAGAAAATTGGATAGAATATTTTTTCTTAATTGAGGGAAAAGTTGAGAATCGTTATTCGGGAATAGTGACCCAGTTTTTTGCGTAAACGATCGCTGCAATATTTTTTACACTCAAACAATAAAAAATCATTATTATTAATTACAACTATATTATTGATTGTTCTACAATTTATTAGTATTTAAGAACATTATATATGTAGATTTAATTAGTATTTTCTAAAAAAAATAAAGAAAAATAAAAAAAAAAAAAAAGTATTGATTCTCAATCAATAAAAAAAAACTATTGAGGGCTTCAGTTTCTCGGTGCAGGGATACAAAAATCCCAAGTGATTATTCCTAGGCTAAAGAAAGAAACACTAACAAAAGAATAGCTTTTAAAATAATAAATCAGCAGAAACCGGTAAAACAATAAATCAACAGAACTAGAGTAAAAGTACATTACAGCAACAAACTGCCTTCAAAACTATTAAAACTAAAGTACTGTTTATTCCATTGTAATCGATTAGAGTATATACTTCAATTAATTATATAATTATTATTTCTATTTTCCATCTTTTTTTTTTTACTGTGGTCTAGTCTATTTTGTCATGTTATTTCGCAAGATTTTCTTTAACATTTTTAATATCTCGTATTTTTCTTTAGTTTAATTTAATTTACTTCTTCAGATACTGTATGTATCTCATTATTATCCTTCTATAGTTAATGACTAGTGACAGATTAAGCATTTTGCCGCCCCTAGGCACCAATCTAGCTACCCTCGGACAGGGTTGTTTTGTTTAAAACTTTTTTTTTTAAACAAATGTTTAAAACGTGTTTTAAACATCAGATTAAATATATTTTTTTTTAAAACAATTTAAAATAAATGTTTAAAACGTTATTTAAAAAAAATGTGTTTTTACTATTTAGTAGAAGAGAAGATGATACTTCAATTATATTTTACACGATAACTTGATTAATAATGAATAAGTTTAAGACTTGACAATTACATTCATTAAAATGTTGTTGAATCGATTCTGGACTCAAAATTACGAAATATTTATTACTTAGGACACTATTAATAAAAATGTGGTAACATTGCATAATGACGAATCGAAGAGAAACATAGATGGTAATGTAACCTTCCATAAAAATAATCTTAAAAAGTTAATTTTGTTAGAAAACAATAGCTTAGTTATAAAATTAACAAAAAAGTAGAGTGTATTGCAGAATACAAATGTATATGTACACATGTATACATATAACTTTATGTATACAGAATATTTGGAAAATAATGATAAATGTTTTACATAGGGGCAAAAAAAGATTTATCATTATTTTTCAAATACCTTGTATGTAGGCAGCTCAGCAGCCTATAAAAATATATAGTAACGTAAATTATGGATTAATATTAGAATTACTACAATTAGTTCAAGAAATAATTATATTGAAATAAAAAATCTCAAAAAGGAAGTCGTGAGTAATCAATATGCATAAAATGCCATTATTGTTAAATTTATATTTTAAATTATATTTATATTTTAAATTTGCTTAAAATATATACAGTCAAATGAAATGTTAAATAGCAAATACACATTCAAATATACTTGTGATACAAATATTCATGTGATAATACGTTCAAATTTAAGAAATGAGAAAGTAGGTACTTTAAATGCTAAAATGTACCTCAGAAACGTTTAAAAATACTTAAAAGTAAAAATGCGTGTTTTTTTTGTTTTAAACATGATTTTTTTCTAAAGCTGTTTAAAATATATATAAAACATTAAAAACATGTTTAAAAAAGAACTGAATATTTTGTTTTTTTTTTTTAAACATATTTTTTATCAACCATCAGATGGTTTCATTAATTTATAAATTTGATAAAAGGAGAAAAAAAATGATTTATACCTCTGCATTAGGTAGTAAAAACATAATCCTTAATGAGTAATAAACAGAATACATTTTTAATTGTATATTTAAAATATCGTTTCTGATAAAATATGTTCGATGTAACTCGTGCAAAAACATTAGATTAACAATTAAAAATTTATCTCAACTATATGAAAATTTTCTTCAAACATTGCTGTCCTAGGTAAGTACCGTGTTTGCGTTGATCCATCACTGCCAACGATGTAATTGTTTTTATTGCTTTTATTGTTGATGGAACTTTTACTGTCGATGAAACTTTTATTTGCGTAGGCCGAGCGATCGTGCGATCCAATACGACGACTTTTGTCTATCAGCTCGTTTTTCTTTGCCAAAAAAATAATACCTTTCAAATTGTCGGATATCGGCGAGGGAATTCGAGACGTCACAGTGAAAGAATGGTACGTGAAAAGTGATTTGATATGATCTGCGGCAAAATATTTCTTTCCACGATAAATATAGTATATATTAAAAGATGCAACGTTTATCCGGTTTTAAATGCATGGGATCCTTGAAGTTAAATTTCAGCTTTTGAATCATTAGCTTTAAAAAATTATTACGCAGTCGACTGAAAATAACAATAACTCATACTTTCAATTTGTATTAACTGGGTAATATTCCTAATTGTTTTTTAAAGAGTGGTTCAAGACTTTTTTTAACAACTCAGTAATTGGCATTTTTTAATCATCCAAAATATTTTTGTTCTCCATACTAAATTCGGCGAAACTTCTTCTCAGGTTCGTGAAACCGGGAGACCAGGTGAAGCAGTTCGATGATATCTGTGAGGTGCAGAGCGATAAAGCCTCGGTGACAATCACGAGTCGCTACGATGGCCTTATCAAGACTCTGTACTACAAGATTGACGACGTCGCGTTGGTCGGATCAACGTTGTTGGATTTTGAAATAGACGACTCAATAGACGCCGTGAGAGATGCAGGTGAGACCGCAAAGAGCGCAGAAAATCAAATGTTTGATAATTCAGAAAAAAGCGAAATAAGTTTAGATAAGGTGGAACCAGAGACCATCACCTTGAAAAAAGAGAAGGTATTGTCAACTCCAGCGGTGAAAAGGATAGCCAAAGAGAATAATATAAAGCTAACGGATGTAAAAGCGACTGGCAAGGATGGAAGAGTGCTCAAGGAAGACATACTGGCACACCTGCAGAGAATTTCCGTGGATCCGAGTGTTAAGATTCCATCGAGCATGACGGGAAGAACAGTCGAGCTTAAAGGATACACGAAAAACATGTGGAAAACTATGACGAAATCTTTGGTGAGTCTTCGAGAAGGTGAAGAAATAGAATCTGCAATCTTAGAATATAGTTTAATTATTGTAATTTTTTAGTGCTTAATTTTTTAGATTTCAATTTTATTTAATTTAATCAGTATTTTATATTCTATTCGCTTCAATATTTAGCATTCATTTTATTACTTCTATATTAATATTCAATGATTTTTTTTTTATAATACTGTTTGTGAACTTCTCTGTCTATCATTTTCAATCTTTCAGATTTTTTACAATTAAAAAAAATTTAATTATACCTACAATTTCTAATTAAATTTCTTCTTTTTTGTATTCTTTGTATAATAACGAATTATGCTGCTTATGAATTACCTTTGTGCCTTGATATTAAGTAAGTGTCAACATTTCGTGAATTACAATACACTTCATCAGGAAGAGAAGCAACTTGATACTGAATCGCTTCTCTTGGACGGCTTTTTATACGCTGTGAAATATAAGAAAAGAGAAGAGGGAAGAGAAAGTCGCTGAGACTGTGATGAAGGCGATTACTTTCGGCCGATCAATTTCCGAAAACCGAAAAATGGTTTTTCATTTACAGCCTTTGTCTCTGTTTACATTATCGGGATGTTTAGAATCTCTGTCTTTTCCTTAGAAGATATGAGATGGTCGTTTGTGGTGGCTATTGTGGTTAACATTTATTGAATTATATGACCATTCAGCACAAAACCAACTGGCAATAAACTCACTTGTATATACAGCATATTAGACGAAGTATCTACGAAGTATCTACAGACAAAACTTAACCATTTGAAACAAACAAGCTAACAATAAAACGGTCACAACAAAAGGACATAAATAAAATAATCACTTACATGCTGAATCATATTACCAACATAAAAATTGTCATCAATTGTAATCAACTATACATAATAGAACATCATGTCAGACAAACAACACCTATAGACAAAATTTAACCATTTAAAATAACAAAACAGGTATGTAATACTTACGAATTTAAAAAATAGAAAATAACAATCAGTAGACTTACAAAGCAAATTCTGACACAAAGCCATCATACGATAGGGCAGACAAGAAAATCTTTCCTGGTCTCACGTGTAGAAGGAATTGTATCGGCAGAATCTTAAATAAACACATCTAAATAAACACGTCTTCAAGCCTGCAAAAAAGATAAGACAAATGAGGAACTGTGAAAATCAAAGATCTCTATTTAGCTTGGCAGGAGTATATAAAATATCTTTTACAAAAATTTACTTTTACAAAAAAAAGTGTTGGGTACCAATATACAAACTCAAATCTGTTCGAAAATGATCCCTTATATTGCGATTTTCTCAATATTTTTTAGATGTAATTAAAATTTTTTTTTGTATTTATTTTCTTCTCTAAAAGTCATCTTGAAATTCTCCTAAACTTTTTATACCCCAAAAAAATCTCTCTTCCGGTATAAAAAAAACCTCCAAAAACCTCCTTCTATTAAATTGGCAACATTAATATTGGGAAAAAGAGAAAATCTATGGATGAAAGCACAGTAATATTAAATTAAAGCATACCACATAGTGAGCATTATTCTAACATAATATTAAGACAGGAAATACTGTTCGATCAAACAATCACAATAGCTATCATCACTTCATATTTTCCAAGAAAATACAGAGAAATACAGAAATATCTCGATAATTTAAACAGAGATAATAGCTGTAACATAAATGACATATGAAAAACATTCCCCTGGTTTTTAAAAATTGATTGACCAATAGTAATCGATTTTACCACAGTCTCAGCAACCCCTCTTTTCCCTTCCTCCCCTTATATCTGAACAGCGTATAAAAAGAGAATTCTTCAGAGAAGCGTAGAGAGAACACATAGAAATGATTCCCAAGGAGAAAACATATCCACTGGGCAAACTAGAAGAAGAGGGAGAAAAAAACGATATAGAAGTGACAGAGAACTTATTATATAGGTTTTTATAGGAGGATCTCTAAATTGTGAATTTGGTGAATCTTATATCGAAGATAAGTTGTATCGTCGAGTATTTTATTGAATAGGTCTTAAATAGTATTTTTTAATGTATGAAAAGATTCCGCATGAAGGAAATTAAAATTCATATCAAATCCATTGTATTTTTTCCTTGTTAGTATTCTCATCCTGAGAAAATAAATTCACGAAATGTTGACATTTAAGGATGTATCAAAAGATGAAAATAATCAATAAACCGCATAACTTTCTTGAAAAAAATACTCATAGAAGTCTCTCCCAACAAGTTAGTTCCATCAGAAAATAACTTTACCTTTATGAATTTTTTACAGACAATACCACACTTCGTCTACAGCGATGAGTGTAACGTGGACCAAGTGATGCGCTACCGTAACGATGTGAAAGATTCCTTGATGAAACGGGACATCTCTCTAACTTTTATGCCATTCTTCATAAAAGCAGTCTCGCGAGCGTTGGAGCAGTATCCTCAATTAAACGCTTGGCTCGACGAAAAGACCCAACAGCTGCAGCTCTTGGACAATCATAATATCGGCATCGCCATGGACACTCCGAACGGTTTAATAGTACCGAATATTAAGAATGTGCAGAACCTCAGTATTTTCGCAATCGCGCAAGAACTGAATAGACTTCAGAAGGATGGCAGTAAAGCATCAATATCATATGCCGATGTGAGCT